TGAGGTGATTTGAAGATTTGAAGTAGATGTTAAGGTATAATATTATATATATAGGATTAAGGTGTAAAAGAAGACAAAGGCAAATGATTTGTTGGAGGAACTCTTTAAAAAGGTAAGGAAGAACCTCCCATGACTTTAGGGTTTATGCTAGGGTTTGTAAATTCTTATGAAACCTTAAATTAAGGTTTTAAGGCATAGAATAGTTGATGACAAGTGTAGTTGAACTTATTTATTCTACTTATTGCCTTGAATTCATTATCCATGAAGTTATTACTATTTATGTTTTATAAGTTGTTATGTTTGAATGAAGAAAATGAAGTGAGGATGTTGATTGTGCAAAACTTATAGTATTAGATGTCACATGGTGTTGAATGGTTGCTATTAAAAGTGTTGATGTGTTGTTTGCATTAGTTTACAATGTTATAGCAATAATGGATGATTATGGGAATGAGGTTTTACACTTCCTTTAAGATGTTAAAGACTATATGAAGGGGAGGTTTATTTGATCCATAAGTTGACCTATTAGTTAATTGTCAATAAGAATTGATGTGGCATAGTTAATATGAAAAATTCAGATTTAGTAACCTTAGAGATTATGTTAAACATGTTTCAGTATTTCGACCATAACTTGAGTTATAAAAATCTAAATGAGATGATTCTTGAAACATTAGAAAGATAAGACATAGTCCTATAACTTTTATGTTTATGCCAAAAGCCAATTCATTTGATAAATGGATGTAAAATGGCCTGAAGTATAAACTGGTGATTAAAGTTTAAGATCTAACATGATCAATTCTTATAATTATGAATTGATTATTAATGTATTATTGTAATTATGTCATGTACTAATGTTTACCCATTAGTTAGATGATCTTTGAAAGATATACATGGTCATGATGTCAATGCATGATTAATGTTATGAAATGGTATGAAGTTGCAATGTAATACATGTTTTAAGATGATATATGTGAGCAAGAGGTAATGTAAATGGATTAATAATCTATAGATGAATTAAAAGTATTAAGCTCACCAAAATATATATTTACATGCCATAAGATGTTAGAGATGCAAATAGACATGATATAGATGCATATAGACATGATGGAAAACGCGTAAGCATATCCTTGTATACCGGTTGAGGAAAGATGAATATATGCTTTAGATACTAAATAACATGTAAGCACGCCTCCTGATGATATGAGCTCTAGATGAATGTGAGGCTAGATGATATGAAGTGCTTAAGATGCTAAGAAAAGTCTGATCGGCTACACGTTAAATGTTTCATATGCATTTAGTTGTAATTTTATTCCTTAGTTCATCATCTTAAGGCACACATATTCTATCTCTAAACATCAGTGCCCCATTGACTATTTTAAAGTCTGTCTCTTTACCCTCTATTATCCGTTGGCAGATTATCTTGCAGGTATCATCTTTACCCTGTTTCATCTTGATCTCCTCCACCAAAGTGGGTTTGATCTCCATTTGGGCCAATCCTCCTTTGATCACAATTTCAATTCCTTCTTGGAGGATCTCCTGCTGTAATTGTCCCTGTACAGTGATTTGAGATAAAGAGACTTTTCTACTAAGGGCATCTGCTACTACATTAGCTTTCCCTGGATGGTATCTGATGTCACAGTCATAGTCTGTCACCAATTCTAACCATCTCCTCTGTCTCATATTCAACTCTTTCTGAGTGAAGAAATACTTCAAACTCTTATGGTCAGTGTATATGTTGCATTTCACTCCATACAAGTAGTGTCGCCATATCTTCAAAGCAAAAACCACTGCTGCTAATTCCAAGTCATGGGTAGGATATCTGCTCTCATAGTCTTTCAATTGTCTAGAGGCATAAGCAATGACTTTCCCTTGCTGCATCAACACTGCTCCTAAACCATTGTGGGAGGCATCAACGTAAATATCATAATCAATGCCTTCTTCTGGCAATGTAAGAATTGGAGCTGTAGTTAATCTTTTCTTCAACTCCTGAAAGCTTTGCTCGCATGCCTCAGTCCATTCAAATGGTACTTCTTTCTTGGTGAGAGTTGTAAGTGGTCTGGCTATCTTTGCAAAGCCTTCCACGAACTTCCTATAGTACCCTGCTAAGCCTAGAAAACTTCTAACCTCTTTCACTGTCTTTGGCCTCTGCCACTCGAGCACTGCTTCTACTTTACTAGGATCCACTGATACACCGTCTTTAGAGATCACATGACCCAAAAAGGTAACCCGATCCAACCAAAACTCACATTTTGAAAATTTGGCATACAGCTGTTTCTCTCGCAATCTTTGTAACACAAATCTCAAGTGCCCGGCATGTTCTTCTAAAGTCTTGGAATAAACTAGGATATCATCAATAAACACCACTATGAACTTGTCAAGGACATCATGAAAAACTCTGTTCATCAAGTCCATAAAAATTGCAGGTGGATTAGTCAATCCGAATGGCATCACAACAAATTCATAATGCCCATACCTTGTTCGAAAAGCCGTTTTCGGTATATCTTCCTTAGCCACTCTAACTTGATGGCACCTTTCAATTGGTCAAACAAATCATCTATCCTAGGCAATGGGCACTTATTCTTTACCGTTACTTTATTCAATTCATGGCAATCTATACACGTCCTCATAGACCCATCCTTCTTTTTCACAAATAGAATTGGAGCACCCCATGGGGAATGACTCGGCCTGATAAAGCCCTTGTCTAACAACTCTTGTAATTGCTTCTTCAATTCTTGGAGCTCAGCTGGGGCCATGCGATAAGGAGCCTTTGAAATAGGGCCTATACCGAGGGCTAGTTCTATACTAAACTGCACTTCCCTCTCTGGAGGTAAACCTGCCAATTCATCTAGAAACACATCAATAAATTCATTTACCACAGGTACCTCATGTACACTTGAGCTCGAACTCTCTCCCTTATTTACTACATGTGCAATGTACCCAGAACACCCATTTTTCAACATCTTCCTAGCTTTTGCTGCACTAATCATCATGCTAGTTAGGTGTCCTTCTCCAAAAATGAAGTTATCCCCATAGTCTAGATTAAACTTGACTTTTTTCCTACGACATTCTATCTCTGCTCTATATCTACTAAGAAAGTCCATCCCAAGAATGATGTCAAAGTCTGGCATATTGAAGACAATCAAATCTACCATCATATCTCGACCTTTAATAGTCACTAACTCCCCCATTAAGACTTCACTGGTCACTACACCCTCACCATTAAGCAATTCAATCCTAATGGCTTGTTCTACTATATATATGTGTGTGTGTGTGTGTGTGTGTGTGTGTGTGTGTGTATATGTATATGTATATACATATATATGTGTGTGTATATATCTATATAGATTATTTAGTCAAACTGTCAAGAATGCATTATACAAAAAATATGATGGAAATATACCTTATAAAGAATTAACATATAGAGATTTAATTAGTTTTATAAACAACGAAGCTTTAATAATTTGCACTTATTTAAAATTAAAAGCTAAATTAAAAAATGAATTAAAACATAAGAAAACAGAATTAAGTGGATTTTGTAGTCAATACGGTTATGAAAAAATATTACCTCCCTCTATTTAGTACAAAAAAGATAAAAAAACAAAAACAATATAGAAAACCTTATTACAAAAAAGATTATAAATATGAACAAAAATCTTATGATAAACCTTATAAAAAGAAAAAATCTTCTAATAAAGAAATATCTAAAAAACCTATCACATGTTGGAAATGTAAACAACAAGGTCATTATACAACTAAATGTCCTATGAAAAATTAAATCAAAAAATTAGAAATAGATTCAGAATTAAAACAACAATTATTAAAAATTATTCAAACAGACTCTGAAGAAGAATCTAGTTACAATACAGATAATGAAGACATGATTTATCAAATTCAAGAAAATTCTTCTGAATCAATGAGTGAGTCGTCACAAGATTCTGATTGCATGGGGCCTTGCTACTGTGCAATGAAATCAATAAATATGATATCAATATCTAGACCTAAGTCAATAAATGTTATCACCAAATCAAAAGAATTTTTATTAGATATTATTGACAAAATTCAGGATGAAGACATCAAAATATAATATTTATTAAAACTTAAAGAATTAATTTTATCAGATGAAAAACAAAATGATGTAGATTCTTATTACTTAAAAGACATATTAAAAAGATTTGACAAACCACACAAGTTACTTTAAGTGATTTGCAAGAAGAAATCAATATTATGAAAAATCAAGTTAAAGAATTACAAAACAATAATATAGAAATTAAGACATATTTATTATGTTTAAAAGTCTCGAAAGAAACTATAGGACAACCATCAACCTCAAAATTACAGATTAAAGAAACTGAAGAAGCATTTATTAATGAAATCTCTAGAATTCAATTTCAAAAATGGCATGTTTACATTAGGATCAATATTAATCATGAATTAGATATTATTACACAAGCCTTAGTAGACACTGGAGCAGATCAAAATTGTATAAGAGAATGATTAATTCCAACAAAATACTATGAAAAAACAAAAGAAAGATTATATGGAGCAAATGGTCAACAATTAAATATTAATTATAAATTATCTAATGCACATGTATGTATACAAAATTTTTGTATTAAAAGTACATTTATTCTAACAAAAGACTTAAATCAAGATGTTATATTAGGTGCTCCTTTTATCACTCAAATTTACCCTTTTAGTGTAACTAATAAAGGGATTACAATCAATATTTTAGAACAAGATGTTATATTTGAATTCATTAATCCACCATCAATAAAAGATATTAATAATTTAAAACATATTTCAATATCTAAGATAAACACTATTACCAAATTAGAGAGTCTAGAAAATGTCTCTACAAAAGAATGGCTCGATTATCACAAAGTTTGGGATGCTTGCATTACAAAAATGTGTTTCCAACTTTTTGCAATAAGATTTAAAAAGTTTCAAAATTTTGTTTTTAATAAAAGGCAAAAGTCAAAATGTTTTTCTAATAGTCTCTCTCATCACAACAACTTTCAGGACACAGATTTATTGAGAGAAAGTGAGGAAAAGATGGGCACTCCCATCAAACCTAAAAACAATCCAAAATCAAAAGCATCGTATGCGATGCTACTACTTCAACAACCTATTACCCCAAAAATAAAACTTTCACAATCAAAACCCAATAAACAGAAAAAATATTATCACCCAACCAAACAGGTTCACTCTTCTTGATGAAGAATCTGTTTCTTCATCTCCACCAAGAAATTACCAACAAGCTCTTACAATACCACCATCCTATACACCTTCCACATCAAAACCTGTCAACATCAATCCCACATTTCAATACATTGAGAAAGATATAACCCAATCAATTTGTATTATTGAACCTGAATATTGGGGACAAACTATGCAAGAAACTTTATCAAAAAATTTTATTTTATTCTTGATGATTTATTAAAAACAAGAACATTTTATGAATTTATTTTAGTTGATACCGATTCAATAGAAATTACCCATAATCCAGACAGAAATGATCCCAATAGAATAGCTTTTTCTAAATGCAAAATCAAAAAAGTTTTGAGACCACAAGATTGACGTATTGGAATTTACCAAAAACACCAATTTTCTCAAAATTTTATTTCTGAAGAATTTTCTTATAAAGATTATCAAAAAGTCTGGTTTCATGCTTTTTGTCTAACACATACAACACACTCTTTGTTTTTTATATTGGAGAAAACTTGTCCAAAAACTTTTCCAAAATGGTTTCAACAATGGTTTAATTTTTTTGATTTAAATGAAAAAATCCTTCCACCTTCGGTCTTGGAAGGATATCTCTTATTTGCCAAGAATTTCAACAATAGTAAAGATCATTTGCTAGCATTCTCCAGCAATTTTTTAATTGTCTAGATAATGAGCTGGCAATTTCACATCACTACTCCTCCAAAATTCTGAGAATTACAAAGAAATTTTCTTATTAAATGGTGGCTTAGTTTTTCTATCCAAAATGTTAATCCACCACAGTGTAGGTATGGATTTCTCAACACCCTCAGTTATGTTAGCCTCAACAACAATCAATATTTTTGACACAAAATTCAAGACTTCTAACTGAACTGGTTCAATGCTAAACCTCTCCAGATATGGAAAAAATTATTATGGCCATCAAATCTTCCTCTTCTCAAAAGGAAGATCTGATGGCCTAGTTTTTCTATCTAAAATGTTAATCCACCACTGTGCAGGTATGGATTTCTCAACACTCTCAGTTATGTCAGCCTCAATAACAATCAACATTTTTTACACAAAAATCAAGACTTCTAGCTAAGCTGGCTCAATGCTAAACCCCTCAAGATATGAATAAAATTATTATGCCCATCAGATCTTCCTCTTCTCAAAAGGCAGATTCGGACAACACCAAATCTCCAAGTGATAAAGATGAAGATGATTATTTTGTCATGTTCCAAAACCAGATTAATTATGACTTCAATAAAGGACAATAACTCAGCACCGCCTTTATCCAATTTTCAAAATTTGCAAAATAATGATCAAAAGACTTTTTCAAGTTTGTCTAAGCTTTCATCACGTGGCTTCTGCAACATTCACAAATCTCAAGGCACAAGTTAAAAATATTCAAGATTTTCTTCAAGATTCTTATCTAGCCAACTTTATCACTTGTCAGAAGCAAAAAGCAAAATTGTCAAATTCATCTCTGAAAGAATTCAAGACATCAAGACAGAATTATCTTTTTGCAAAATTGTCAAGCTCCCCTGACAACAAGCAAGACTTTTCAAGAGTTCATTTATAAACGATTATCCTTTTGTCGGCCAATATCAGAACAAGTAATCAATAATTCAAGACACGTATCCAAGACAGCTCATCACCTTATCAACAACATTTGAATCCGTTACGTGTCTCTGAAAGAATTCAAGACACGTAACGGATTCAAATGTTTTTGAAATCCGGTCTGTTGTAGTATAAGTATGGATCACTTCCATTGTAAACATTAAGTTTCTAAGTTTTTTACAATTCAAGAAAAACATTTTTGAGAGTTTAAGGCTCCGTTTGGTTCACATTTTTGTGTTTTGGGAAAAGTTTTTGCAAAAAAGTTGAATTGCACGAGTGTTACGATGTAGAATTTACAGATTAATAAAATACCGCTTATGTTTGTTTATTTACAAAACACCCCTATAATAAAACATTGAAAGTTAACAAAAACACTCCCAACCCACCCTCAAATACGGACAGTTGGCCACCACCGTCAGAGGGTGGCCGGAGTCGCCGTATCAACGCATGACCGGCTGGATCTTGCCAGTCATGCGTCGATATGGCCTTTTCCGGCCAGATCCACCAGCCAGATCTACTGCGCCGATATGGCCTTTTTCGGCCAGATCCACCGGCCAGATCTACGACTAGATCTGGCCATTGACAACCAGATCTGGCCATATTTGCTCGTCAACGTCAACGACGACCGTTTGTTGGTCGTCGTTACCGACTGGTTACGGCCAAAGATCTGATTCAGCCGGTAGTGCGCTATCCTACCAGATTCCGGCCATTTTCAAGCAGTGGTGGCCGAAATCTGGTAAATGCAGATTGCTGGGGTGTTTTTGCAATTTTTAAAATAAATATTTAAGGGTATTTAATTAAATTAATTAATTTAGGGGGTTTAAAAAAATTTGAATAATATTGAATAATATTGTGAGTTTTTGGGTATTTTACTGTTTAACTTTTTTTGGAATACTAATAGTAGTATTCCCAAAAACCAATCAAATGGAGCCTAAGACTTTAGACTTTAGATTTTAAAGTTTGAGAGAGAAAGTTTCTTCTCAAAACTTTCGTGTATAAAATATTATCAAGCAATAAATCACTTGTAGGTTTTTCTTCATTACATTCATTATATTATTTGACTTAGTTTACATTCATTTGACTTGACTTCAATTCATTTACAATATTTTCATTCAATTACTTTGATTTTTACGATCCTGCTTTATATAGTATCCGAGCCAAGTAGAGTCAATAAAAGTAGTGACTAAGAATTAAATCGCACAAATTAACACCCATAATCGTAGTTACTGTAGCGATTACTGTAATTCTGTTCATCACTATTTATGCACTGCAGCAGTTTACTGTAATTTACTATTCATCTGTGCACTGTTTATTTCTAGATTGAATTAAGGGAGTAGTATTATCTTCTATCCTATTCATTTGTTGGCTAATGGTGTGGAGAATTTAATTAGAGTAATTATTTTGATGTTGAATATTTTTAGCATCTCTTAAAATTGGTTGTTTTTTGTCATCATCAATTCTATTAATTTTTTTAAATGGTGATACTATTATTTTTACTTGTTGATGTTCTATTTTAATTTCTTCTAAAGGTGGATAGACAAATGTAATAGTTTTATTTGTTGATGTTTGCCAATTTTTCGTTGCATTAGTAGTAACAAAAATAGTTTTCTTTTCAGTTAAATCTTGATAACATTTTCTATTTCTAACCAATTAAAGAAATAAATATTTTGTTTTAATTTTTCTTGTGTACTGTACCATTCAGATCTAATGGTATTTTGTTCTTCAGGATTAAATTTTGTAAAGAATATTTGTCGTTTTTCTTTATTATAATTTTGCAGGAATTCTTGTTTTAATAATTCTTTGTTAATTTCAAAGGGTTTTGTTATTGTGTTAATTTGACTATAATTTCCTAATACTTCTGATTGTGTTAGTGAACTAGGTGGACTTGATGTGTTTTCTTACGCTAGTTTTGGTACAGGAGGGGAATAATTTACTCCTACTAATTTACTTGTTGAAGTTGCTGACGAAGGCCTAGGTGTTGTAATTTCTTCAATCCTAGGGTTTTGATGATCTTTGTTAGTAATGATAGGTTGATTTTGTTCTAAGAGAGTTTTTCTAAATTTTAATCTTATTTTATTATCTGGTTCTTGTATTATTTGTTGTATCTCATATTCATTTTGATCATGTAAAGTTTTAGGAGAGCATAATTTTTCTAATTTCCAATCAGTTTGTTTAATAATTTCATCCCAAACTAATCTTTTTGGTGTAAAAGTTTTATATTTTGTTTTATCGGCTTCCATTATAACTGTGTGTCCTAGTGGGGACATCCTAATGGCTCTTGGACTAATTATTGTATTCATAACTTTGTAATAAATTCTATATATTAAGGCTACTGGTTGGGCTTTAACTTGATAAGTAAGATTAGAAGTTTTTAAATTAATAGTTAATGCAGACAGTATTGTTGAATTATGTAAACATACTGTAAAGTTTGGATAACAATCAAAATGTAATGGACCATTTTCTAAATTAGAATTTAATACTACTAATAAAGAGTTATTGAAGTTTAAATTTTTTGTATCTCTTAATATTACTAATATTGGAATGTTTTGTCCTAAACTAAATAATGGTTTTACTGCTACTTGTATTAATTCTATATGTAAAAATTTATAGTTGTTTTGTCTGTGTTTGTGTATTGTTTCTTCAGAAAGAAGTTGAATTTCTTCAACCCTTTCTTTGATTATCATTATTGTGTCTGTTTGAATAATTTTTAACAATTGTTGTTTTAATTCTAAATCTATTTCTAATTTTTTGATTTGATTTTTCATAAGACACTTAGTTGCATAATGACCTTGTTGTTTACATTTTCAACATGTGATAAGTTTTTGGGATATTTTCTTATTAGAGGATTTTTTTTTCTTTTTATAAGGTTTATCATAAGATTTTTGTTTATATTTATAATCTTTTTTGTAATAAGGTTTTTTATATTGTTTTTGTTTTTTTATCTTTTTTGTACTTAACAGAGGGAGGTAATATTTTTTCATAACCATGTTGACTACAAAATCCACTTAATTCCATTTTCTTATGTTTTAATTCATTTTTAATTTAGCTTTTAATTTTAAATCAGTGCAAATTATTAAAGTTTCGTTGTTAATAAAACTAATTAAATCTCTATATGTTAATTCTTCATAAGGTATATTTCCATCATATTTTTTGTATAATGCATTCTTGACAGTTTGACTAAATAATCTAGATAGACCATCTATGAACCTTTCTTTCCAATAAGATTTCCTATAGTTTGTTCTTGTGAATACTTTTTGTAAAAACATATCCTTATACCATCTAAAATCTATCATGGTTAGACATCTTAAGTTTGATAATATTTCTTGTGATTTTTTCTAAAAACTTGCTGGGTCTCCTACAAAGTTTTTGGTTATTGCATAAATTAATGTGGCTACAGCGTCTCCTTCCTCATGTTCATATTCTATTTGACTAGTACCTTCTATTTTGACTTTCTTAGTCTTTTTTGTTGCGTGTAATATGT